GGTTTCAAGAGCTCTCACCCTTGGGAGGTTTTCCTGCTGTTTTGCCCGAGTTTCCTTCTGCATAATTTTAGTTCATTATGTCTAAAAAGGCAGAGAAGGATTTATGGAGCAAAAGGCCCAGAGTGGGAAGAATGAATCATTCAAAAAAGAACAAAGGCAGTTGCGGCCAGGAAGTTGAGGGAGGACAGGTTATTGAGACAGTCTCAAAATGATCTATCTTCTTTGTCTATCTCCCGCTAGAGGGTGTCTAGTATCTCAGACAATCTCTGTCTGGGGGAAGCTGAGGTTTGATGGGGCATCTTGTAATAAAAGGGCACTGGCTGATCCTGTATCTCTGTCCTGGGTTTAAAAGAGACTTCAGGGACAGGGCTTTGAGCAGCTTCATTCTGCTTTGACCTCCTGCTGAGAATCAGCATCTACATTCAACAAGATCACCAGGTGATGCTTACACATTATCAGCAGACAGTAACAGAGATGCATCAATTCAATGCTCAGGATACAGTTTCAGTGAGGACAGCCTCTTTTTCAGGCAGTCCCAAAGCAGGCCTCTCACTCTTAGCTTCATGGCATCAATGTCTGCCCTACTTGGGAAAAAGTTACAAAGTCTCTTTGGCTCCGCCAGCTTTACCCCCACTCTGCCTGATGGTGTTAAGGCGTGCTATCTTGCTCGGGGAGCTAGGACCCCACAGCTCCTTTTCACACTGGCCTCTGCTTCTGTGCCATCTCTGATCTGCCACCACTACTGCTACTGTCTTGGCTGCTATGTTGTCTTGTACCATCTCTTTGTCTTGGTTCATATGAAGTGTCAGGTCCAAAGGATATGTAGTTCTCATAGGTTCTTTTTTCATGATAGTAGTGAACTTCCTGGTTTCCACTTTAGGGCCAGCTGATAAGTCTGATTGTTGTTGTTGTTATGTGCCATGGAGTCGCTTGTGACTCATAGCAACCCTATGTACAAGAGCTCTAAATGCTCTTCTATCCTGTGCCAACCTAGCCATCTCAAATGCACTTATTCCCACCGCTCCAGTCACAGAATCAAGCCATCTCATCAAAAGTCTTCCTCTCCTTCACCGCCCCTACACTCTGCCAAACATGATGTCCCTCTCCAAGGACCAGTCCCTCCTTGCAACATGCCCAAAGTATGTCAGATGAAGCTTCAGAATTCATGACTCCAAGGAGCATTCCAGCTTCACCCTTTCCAGGACAAACCTGTTTGTTCTCCTAGCAGTCCATGGTATATTCAACACTCTTCTCCAGCACCACAGCTCGAAGGCATCAATTCTCTTTCTATCAACCCTATTCACTGTCCAACTCTGATGCATAGCACGTAATTGCAAAGACTATAGCTCAGATCAGGTGCACCTTAGTCTCCAGTCTGACGTCGTTGCACTTCAGTACTCTTGAGAGGTCCTTCACAGCTGACTTTCCCAATGCAATTCATCTCTTGATTTCCTGGCTGCTGTTACCAAGAGTGTTGACTGTGGAGCCAAGCAAACTAAAACTGTTAACTATCTCAATCTCTTCACCATCCATACTGATGCTGCCAATTGGCCCAGTGGTGAGAATCTGTTTTCTTGATGTTGAGCTTCAGTCCATATAGGAGGCTGCAGTCCTTGATCTTCTGCAGCAAGCACTTCAGGTCCTCCTCAGTTTCAGCAAGCAGGGTTGTGTCATCTGCATAACGCAGGCTGTTGATGATTCTTCCACCAATTATGATGCCACATTTCTCTTCGTATAGCCCAGCGCCTCGGATAATCTGTTCTGCATACAGATTGAAAAGGTATGGAGACAGAATACATCCCTGATGAACCCTCTTCTTGATTTTGAACCATGTAGTGTCTCCTTGACCACTTCCCATGTTAACATTCTACACACCTTATTTACATGATCCTGCCTGGAAGATTTTAATTTTAGTTGGTGGCTTAGTGGTAAGGAATGGTGCTACCAACCCAAAGGCTTAGAATCTGAAAGAATTGGAATCTACCAGTTACTCCACAGGAGAAAGATGGGCTGCCTCCTCTTTTGTGATTTACTGCCTCTTGAGGATGGTGGGAGAATGATGGGCAATCTCCTCCTGTGCGATTAACTGCCCCTGAAAACCCACCAGAGGGTCAGCTGTGGGTCAGTTCCTACTCTATGGTACACAACAACAACAAAATGAAGAGGATCAGCTATGAGTCAGTTCTTCCTCAACAGAACAAAACCACCACCACCAGAACCTGCAAAGTGTCATTTGCCTTATATACAATATTAGCAAGCTGTCGAATACCCTTGTTGTTGTTTTTGTTGTTATAAGCAAACTCATAATCAGCAGCTACCCCATAGTCAGCAGATCTGAACTCTGCCCTATCCTGGGCCGTCCTTATCATCTCTGACACACTGGAGCCCATTGCTGCAGTCGCTGTCAATAAATGGCATTGAGGGTCTTCTCTTATGCCGACCCTTCACCTTTCTAAGCATGATGACCCTCTTTAAGGAATAATTCTCTCCTAACAATATGCCTAACATATATGAGATGAAGCTTTGTCATTCTTGCTTCCAACACTACAGCCCTATAATACAAAGTGATTCTTCTGCTATCCTTATTTATTGTCCAGCTCTCCAATGCACAGCAAAGATCATGGCCTGAATAAGGTGCGTCTTGGTCTTCAAATGGACATCATTGCTCCTTAGTAAATTTACTGCTCTCAGATTACATTTGTGCTGGGTAACACAATGTCTTAATCTTCCAGAGTGCTCTTTAGTATATAGAATCTTTGGACAGACTTCCTGTAGCTTAAAAAACTGTCTTTTATAGGTGTCCTTGAATTTGGTTATACGTAGAGTCTACTCCCCTGTTATATACTTACTTTGGACAGAACTTTTTAAAAGAGTTGCTGTGAAGGTCACAGGACATCATTTCTGAGAAAAGCTGGTGAGCTAGTGGGATCAGAAAGGTCAGCTTGCTTCCCTCCTGAACCATAGTGGTGACCCCACTCCTCTCAGGGCAGTAGCCCCTCACTGCCAGTGCTCACCTGTGGAGACACGCTGCAGATACCAGCAGACCTTGTGTAAACTGACCTAGGGGAAGCTTTGGTTCTTGAGTTAGTAGGGATGGCTGGCACCAGAATAAAGGCTGATCACCAGTTCAACTTCCTTTGTATTGACTGTAGCAGGCTGTGTTTAGACTGAGGGTTGGGGCAAAATTATAATTTTCTGTAAAAATTTGTGAACTCTGATCTCAGTCTAAAGAGAGATGGGCTCTGGACATACGAAGGCCTCTGACAGGCTCCTCAGGAGAAGAATTCTATGGCTGGCTCTGCAGAAAGGATTTATGACCATGGACCACTCTAAAAAGACAAACGGACTTAGTTTTTTTAGTGTTTTAACACTGCAAACGTTATTTTCTCAGACAGCTCTAATTGTTATGTGCTGTTGAGTCAGAACTGACTCATAGCTGACCTTCCCGGAGGTTTTCAGAAGCTGTAAATTGCACAGGAGATTGTCTATCGTTTTCTTGTGGAGGAACTGGTGGATTCAAACTGTTTGCCTTTGGCTTGGCAGTGCAACTCCTTACCACTTGGCCACCGGAGCTCCCTCTTCAAAGTCTACAAGTACAAACTCAGTGTCTCAGGTCTAAGAACACCCTTTCTCTCTCCTTCTCAGGTCTAGGGATAGGAGAACGAGGATCTCCTTGTCTCTTCCAGTATCCCTCTGCTCCTTGGCAAAGTTCATGCACTGCAGTTTCTTTGCCTGTTTGTGTTCATGGTTCTTTACAGCTCAAAAGTGATTAGCTTTGAGACTTACCTTATACTGCTATGACTTCATTGACACAACAAACAATTTATTTCCAAATCTCTCTCTCATTGCTATGGAGTTATGCAGTCAGAACCAACTTGCAGCTGATCCTTGATTGGGTTTCCAGGGCTATGCATTGTATGGGAGGAGATGGACCATCTTTCTCCCATAGAGCCTTGGTGTACTATATTAACATCTACAGTGGGTAAGGTGAGTTAGGTGGCCATATAGTCCATAGGAAGTGGTATTGCTAACCCAAAAGCTCTCTGATGGTTCAAATCTACCAGCCTCTCTGAGGTATAAAGATGGTTAAACTCCTTCTGTGTGATTGACAGCTTTGGAACCCCAATCGAGAGGCAGCTGTTCTGACTTGACAGCAATGAATTTGTTTATTTAATGGGTTTTTTATTGGGGTTAGGATTCATCTGACACAGTCTTGTGGACACAGGTCAATCAACACCAACCTTTTCAGACTCAGATGAGCTAGTTAGAGCAGCAGCATTACCGTTTGACAGCCAGTTGTGGCTTTGGAGGAAGACGGCCTGCCTTGTCCTATGGGGGTCAGCAGACCCTCTTCCACCTTGACCTCTGGGGGTCAGCAGACCCTCTTCCACCTTGACCTCTGGGGGTGTTCTGCAAGTGTTCACTTGCGCCCTCTACAAGTGTCCAGGACATGTCTGGACCCCAAGAGACTTTGCAGGAAGGATTCACACTAACTCCAAAGTACCTCTGAGGAGCTTAAAAAGTGCTGCCAGAAAGGCAGTGGCTGCTGCTTGAAATCCTTTTTAGGGAACAAAATGAGAAATACATACTAGTGAAATAAAACAAAGCAGGCCATTGTTCTGTTGGAAATATCACTGTCCCATGTACGTGTACCTAATGGCCTGCTTCTTGATGCGAGGAAGTGGTGACAGTGCCAATGGGAGCTGGTCTCAGCTGCCTCCTTTGGAGAGCCCCAGTGGCACCTTGCTTAAAGCACTTGCCCACTCGCCAAAAGATTGGTAACAGAGGATAACGATGCAACAAGGCCCTGTGCGTCCGTGGAGATTTGCAGCTTTGAAAACCCTATCCCTGTGAAATCTGCCTGGAGGAAGGGGCTGACTAGGCTCCTCTGTGTCAGACATCATTCCTCTCCTTTCTGATGTGTTCTTCTCTCTTCCTGTTTTCTAGGAACAAGAGGATTCATCTCACTCAACTGGAGATGGCTCCCTTCCCTAATTTACTGCTCTGAACCTCTGGCTTCTCCCACCGGCTTGGGAATGATGAGCAGCCGCAGAGCCCTGTAAGCCAGGCAGACAAATCCAACCTCCTTCTTGTCACTCAACGGGTTTGTTTGAGCCTGGGAAGGAAATGAATTCCAAAGGCAGGAAATGACCCAGAGACTCTAACAATATGTGAAAAGCCAAGCCGGTGCTTCCGTCACTTTGTTTCAAGCTAATCTGTATCCCAGGAAGCCTAACCCATTACCAGATGGAGAGCTGTTCTCCGGGGCCTCTTGGCATCTGCTGTTTCCCGGCTGGTGACATTTGCACATTTCAGAAGGCAAACCTGTGCCGGCATCCTCAAACTTCCAAAGAGGTGCAGCGACAGGAAAGTCCTTGGGTCTCTGGCTGACGGCGCCAACCATCTGATGGGCTTCATCTGCCGCTGAACTGCTGCTGGCCTCCCGCCGAGGACACGAGCACATCGAGTCTGTTCTTGAAGATTTGCAGATTCTGAAATAAAAATGCACCCAGTTGCCAGAACTGGCTGGCTCCCTTGCCTGTATATAATCCCTTCTCACCAGGCTTTCCTAAAGAAACCCTGATGAGTCAGGAAGGAAGAAAACGTGTCCCAGGGAGGTCTGGGGGTGGGATGGTCTCTCCCTGGCTTATGAAAATTTTCTCTTGTTTTGTAATGCTGGTAATATTCCAGAGTTGGTTTTGCTTTTTCTCTATTTTCCTTTGATAGCACTCAATTTAAGAGACCCTTCATTTACCTCTCAGGGAAGGGCTCCGGAAAAAGGCAGGGGGCCTTCTGATGGGGAATTAGTCACTGGGCAGAGTGAGTTCCCTTTTATCCCCAGGATCACGGCAAGAAAAAGCTTCCACTCCTACCTCTAGAAGGAACCATCAGTCAGCTGCTTTGTTCTGGCCTAAGGGCCTGTACTTTTCCTCAGCTTTTAATTTTACTGAACGCCATCCATCAGCCTTCCCACATAAGGCTGCGTGCCAGTTGGCTTCTGAACATGGGTGAGGTGGTTTCTGGGATACCTGCTCCAGTGAGGGATCCTGCTAATCCCTCCCAGGTAATTGGAAAGTAGCTATCGTTGAATGAACAATGTACTTAACTCCTTCTACATCTTCACAATGTTAAACAGATTAAAGTATAAAGAATCCAATATATTTGTTGACATCTGATTTATAGAAAAGCTTGAATAAGAAAGCAGTGAGTATTTCACCGACAGGCTGGTGAAAATGAGGCCAGCAGTGGAGGGCACTGCTCTGTTGCATTCAGCATCTGATACCTGTCCTTGTGTGTGACACCACTCCGTGCCATGCTTTGAAGTTATGTTTCGTTTATTATGAAAGAGGCTTTTTAAAAGTAGGGTTTGATAAGCTTGGATTTACTCTTGGAAGGGGAATCTGGCCTCCATTATAAGCTAGAGACTTAATATCTGAGATGAGGTGTATCAATTCTATGTAGCTGCTAGTAAACAGCAGATAAGCTTGGAGATTTTCAAGCGAAGGGAAGGGGAGAGACACACACAGAGAAAATGCTTTTTTGTTATTGTTGTTAGAAAGAGACAATCATGCAGGTTATAGAAGTATGAGTTTCTCTCTCTCTCCCTTTTCTGCTGTCTATGTAAAATAAGCAAGGGGGTGGGAAAATCTAAATGTAGGAGACAGAAGAGGCCATCATCTCAGTTATTACCCTTACCAGACAGATAATAAATAGATCATATTAGGAAGGTAACAACAATAGTGATGATGAGTATGTACAGATATATAGAGAGAAAAAAGCTTTTGATTTCAAGTTTTGCTCTAATCCCAAAGTACTATTGTTGTAGCTACTTAAGTGATCCAAGGAGCTTTGACTACAATTACAGAAATCTAAATAAATATAATCGGACAGAAAAAAGTCAGTATTACATTGATGTTATTGAGAAGCAATAAAAATTAGTGAGAAGGACCCATCAACAAATGAATGGCTAGAGAAGCTGTGGTATATTCACACAATGGAATACTCTGCTGCATTGAAAAAACAAGGAACTCATGCAATATTATGCAAAATGGATGACCCTGGAGGACATTATGCTGAGTGAAGTATCTCAGTCATAAAGGACAAATACTGCATGGTGCCATTGTTGTAAAACAGGACTGACCTTGGGGTTGGGAAAGACTGAGAAAGATGGGATAAATTATATATCCTGCATTGAAACAGATGAGGGAGAAAACTGTTTAAAAGGGATATGTGATTAGGTATTATTGTCATGACAGGAGTCCAGAGTGAAGGCTACCTAGTGGAGTGGACTTGATGGGAAGGATTGCATAACAATGAAAGAATTTTACTTTTCAAAGAGAAGAGTGAACTGGAGGGGAGGGGTGGGCAGGGAGAAAAGTGCAACAATGAATGAATGGAAATCCAAAGTCTCTTTAAGTTTTCATTAAAATTAATAATAATAATAAAAATTAGTGAGAAGAGTGCAAAAAAAAAAACAATCTGTGAGTTCACGTTGCTAGAAATATGTGCACAAGACACAGATAAATAAATGGAAAATCCAGTGTAGAAAGAACAGCAGAGATTTAAAAAGTCACCACTAGACAATTTTTAATGGAATCAGGACAGATTCAACCGGCATCAAGTTGGGATTTTAAAATTTCTTTTAAATCTGTATCTCCTAAGACGTCTTTCAGTCAAATGCTAGAATTATTCCAAACAAAATTGTTTAAATGACTACTGGTCTATGGAAAAATGTTTTACTGATGGGGGCGGGGCGGGGCAGAGAATCCCTTAGGATAACAGAATTAACTTTTATAATACTCTTTTTTTGTTTTGAATCTACAAGTGCTGAAATGTTTCAGCACATAATATTGAAATAATGATATAATTACAGTAACTCTGTTAGTACTTAAAGTGACACATTTATACCTAGTTAATTCATTTGTTTTTATGTAGAGAGTTTCAAAGAATTGCACTTTAATTCAATATTAACCAGGCTATTATTTCAAAGTGTTTCTACTTGGCAATAAATGGTGGTGATTTAGTTATAATTAAATAGAAATGAGTGTATGAAAATGTAATGAAGTTCAGAGAAGTATTCATTATGTTTCAATACATTTATATTATCTATTCACCCAATAAATTGTTATACCTCTATTGTAATTAACTAGGAATTAACTCATTTCATTTAAAAAAAATTCTGGTCTCAGAATTCTTACTTTGTTATGTATTCACTGGAAACTTAATTGAGAGTGCAGGAAACATATTTTTAATGAATCAAAACAAAAAAATTAATGTGGCATTGAAAGTGAATCATAATTGAAGCTGTTTACAAAATCATGATTGATCTGCAGCATCCAACATTTTTCTACATTGCATGTCTCTGGCAGAAAAATCTTAGTATCTTTATAATTCAGTGTTTTTATCAGAATGTGAGATAGTCTATTTCTTTCCTGTCTTTTATTATCTGATAGACAGGCATTATCACATTAGGTATTGTCAGTGAGTCATTTTCATTTCTAAAGGATGGAATCTTCTTGGCTACATTTGACACCGCTGTCGTTTAATGCATTTGCCGTGCTGGGGAAACTGTGTTTCTCTTTACCCAAATTAGGGTAAAACATTAAAAGTTAACTGTTCACAAGCTGTGTTTCTTACTTAGCACTTTTATTGTTATATCGTTCACATGTCATACCATTAACGGGTTTTAATGTGTACAATTTAGTGGTTTTTAGTATAATTATAGTCCAACATTATCACAATCAATTTAAGGTATTTTTTTATCACTTCTAAAAACGTATACTCATACACTTTAAAGTCCCCATAGTCCCAGCCTCTAGATCCTGACCTTAGCTTATTCAGCCACTATCCAGTCAATTTAATTCATACAGACTCTACAAGATGAGGTAAAACTTCTCTATAGGATTGGATTTGCTGGATTTGGCTAACAATGAGCTATGGACTGGAAGCCTCTTGTTTAGAGTCAAGAGGACCTGCTGTTAATTATGTTTGGGACAGACATT